CCCGGGGGTAGGCAGAAAAGCCACATTTCTCCCAGATGTACGGTATTTACAATGGAATCAAGGCCGAAGGGTTGCGATATCCATAATACCGAGCCTAAGGGTTGACAACTCATGGCTTATGGATACTAAAACAAACAAACAGCATATAGATTGTTGGTTCCTCGCCTATAGTCGCCTCCTACGGCATGCTTGTTGGGGGAAGTGGGGCCCCAGAATCCAGTGGAAGAAAATACAGCTTAATCGAACCCGATATGTTGGAATTGTGAGACTTGTTTGCAGTCGTTGTATTACTAGTGCAGCCAGAATCATACACCTTATCATATCTGCTGAGAGAGACAGTCGACCTGTAGGTTTGACCGAGGTGCTATGGTGTTGATTCTGTATTATCGTTAATCACATAAGTGAAAGACACATCCTGATAGAGATCGACTACAAGGACACAGACACACGTGCACACACACACATTGGAAAACGGGGAGGGACCTCTCCTATTCTAATCTTTTAGGGGCGTGGGTGGAGGGAGGAGGGCCGCGCGCTTAAGCGTTGTTTAAGTGGGCAATAACAATATTATTATTATTAGATGAACACCAAATAAATATAAAATATATATATATGAAATAATATAACATCTAGGAAATATACCCCCCCCCCCCCCCTCACCATTTCCCCTATTTGTTTCATTAAAAACAATTTTTGGGAAAAGTTCGGGGGGGGGGGGGGGGGGGGGGGGTTTCGAGGGTCTTAGACACAGTACTGCCAATATGCCTGGAGTCGGCATTCGAGTGTGGTAATGACAGTTTCATAGCAGTAACTGACATCACTCAGAAGCTTAAACCAAATACATACAGACACACAAATGCGTGTAAGCGCGAGCGCACACACAAACACAAAAACAGGATCAAGAGCCTGACTGGGCAAGCGAGATCAGTGCGGCCAGGAAGCATACAGCCCAAGTCCCTGTGTGGTTTTGTCTGTAATCACATTTTTAAAAAATGATGTCAGTGAAATAAACAGCAGTTGCTATGAGCTCATTGTATAGCCGGACACACTGTGTAATGAAATCGGACACAATAACATTGGATACATTGTGTAATGATAGCTGACACACTAACATTGGATACATTGTGTAATGATAGCTGACAGACTAACATTGGATACATTGTGTAATGATAGCTGACACACTAACATTGGATACATTGTGTAATGATATCTGACACACTAACATTGGATACATTGTGTAATGATAGCTGACAGACTAACATTGGATACATTGTGTAATGATAGCTGACAGACTAACATTGGTTACATTGTGTAATGATAGCTGACACACTAAGATTGGATACATTGTGTAATGATAGCTGACAGACTAACATTGGATACATTGTGTAATGATAGCTGACAGACTAACATTGGTTACATTGTGTAATGATAGCTGACACACTAACATTGGTTACATTGTGTAATGATAGCTGACAGACTAACATTGGATACATTGTGTAATGATAGCTGACAGACTAACATTGGATACATTGTGTAATGATAGCTGACAGACTAACATTGGTTACATTGTGTAATGATAGCTGACACACTAAGATTGGATACATTGTGTAATGATAGCTGACAGACTAACATTGGATACATTGTGTAATGATAGCTGACAGACTAACATTGGTTACATTGTGTAATGATAGCTGACAGACTAACATTGGTTACATTGTGTAATGATAGCTGACAGACTAACATTGGATACATTGTGTAATGATAGCTGACAGACTAACATTGGATACATTGTGTAATGATAGCTGACACACTAACATTGGATACATTGTGTAATGATATCTGACACACTAACATTGGATACATTGTGTAATGATAGCTGACAGACTAACATTGGATACATTGTGTAATGATAGCTGACAGACTAACATTGGTTACATTGTGTAATGATAGCTGACACACTAAGATTGGATACATTGTTTAATGATAGCTGACACGCTAACATTGGATACATTGTGTAATGATAGCTGACACACTAAGATTGGATACATTGTTTAATGATATCTGACATACTAACATTGGATACATTGTGTAATGATAGCTGACACGCTAACATTGGATACATTGTGTAATGATATCTGACATACTAACATTGGATACATTGTGTAATGATATCTGATACACTAACATTGGATACATTGTGTAATGATATCTGACACACTAACATTGGATACATTGTGTAATGATAGCTGACATACTAACATTGGATACATTGTGTAATGATATCTGACACACTAACATTGGATACATTGTTTAATGATAGCTGACACACTAACATTGGATACATTGTTTAATGATAGCTGACACACTAACATTGGATACATTGTTTAATGATAGCTGACAGACTAACATTGGATACATTGTGTAATGATAGCTGACACACTAACATTGGATACATTGTGTAATGATAGCTGACAGACTAACATTGGATACATTGTGTAATGATAGCTGACACACTAACATTGGATACATTGTGTAATGATAGCTGACAGACTAACATTGGATACATTGTGTAATGATAGCTGACAGACTAACATTGGATACATTGTGTAATGATAGCTGACACACTAACATTGGATACATTGTGTAATGATAGCTGACAGACTAACATTGGATACATTGTGTAATGATAGCTGACACACTAACATTGGATACATTGTTTAATGATAGCTGACACACTAACATTGGATACATTGTGTAATGATAGCTGACAGACTAACATTGGATACATTGTGTAATGATAGCTGACAGACTAACATTGGCTACATTGTGTAATGATATCTGACACACTAACATTGGATACATTGTGTAATGATATCTGACACACTAACATTGGATACATTGTGTAAAGATATCTGACATACTAACATTGGATACATTGTGTAATGATATCTGACATACTAACATTGGATACATTGTGTAATAATATCTGACACACTAACATTGGATACATTGTGTAATGATATCTGACATACTAACATTTGATACATTGTGTAATGATATCTGACATACTAACATTGGATACATTGTGTAATGATATCTGACATACTAACATTGGATACATTGTGTAATGATATCTGACACACTAACATTGGATACATTGTGTAATGATATCTGACACACTAACATTGGATACATTGTGTAATGATATCTGACACACTAACATTGGATACATTGTGTAATGATAGCTGACACGCTAACATTGGATACATTGTGTAATGATATCTGACACACTAACATTGGATACATTGTGTAATGATAGCTGACACGCTAACATTGGATACATTGTGTAATGATATCTGACACACTAACATTGGATACATTGTGTAATGATAGCTGACAAGCTAACATTGGATACATTGTGTAATGATATCTGACAGACTAACATTGGATACATTGTGTAATGATATCTGACATACTAACATTGGATACATTGTGTAATGATATCTGACACACTAACATTGGATACATTGTGTAATGATATCTGACATACTAACATTGGATACACTGTGTAATGATAGCTGACACACTAACATTGGATACATTGTGTAATGATATCTGACACACTAACATTGGATACACTGTGTAATGATAGCTGACACGCTAACATTGGATACATTGTGTAATGATAGCTGACACACTAACATTGGATACATTGTTTAATGATATCTGACACACTAAAGTTGGAGACATTTATTGAGATATTATTTACAAGATGGTTGCCACTCCTTCGTATACACTCAACGATCAAGCTGAACAGTTTAATCGTAACAGCAGTCGTGAGTTCTGAAAGACTTTGGTGCAGCAAGGATACAATGAGTGCAAATTAAAGATAATTTATACAATATAATTGGCAAGTGGCCCGCTGGTTGTCAGTTTAAGAAGACCAGAGTTTCATCCTGAGAACGTAGCCGGGTATATATATGAGACATTCACTGAAGCCATACAGACACTTACAGCACTGCGTATCAAAATACACAGCTAGGCCAACTATTGCACAACTGCCTCAGTAACAAGCTCTGGTTGTGTTTTTATCTTCTTTATTTTCTCTTTCGCGTCCACCACCAACTGTAAACTCCGACAGAAGGCAGTGGTTGTTCGCCTAAACTTCACCCTTGTTCCAGAACATAGGTTTTGCGTGCACATCGGTTTTACAGATCTGGCTAATTAATGTGCAAGCTATTAGTTTCCTTGCCTCGGGCAGACGCACTTCAACTTTGAAGGAAACCGCTCAGTTTGTCGCCTTTTACGACATGCTTGTCAGGAGGCAGTAGGACCCTTCCCCCCCCCCCTTTTCCCCGGAACCGGCACAGCAAGTTGTGGTTGAAAACATACTCAGACATGTAGGTATTGCTGCGTTGGTGTGTGTGGGTGTGGGTTCACGTCCCAAGTCAGTCTGGTCAGTCCAGTAGAGAGCATGGAAGAGTAAAGGTACAAATGGCATATGGTGCTACACTCGTACTGCTGTAGACCAATCGGCACTCTTTGGTTGATATGGTATTTATCTGTGCGATCGTCTTTACTTCCCCACGACATTACCTGGTACCCATTTTAGGCTGTGTCGACATGGAAGACAAGGTCCGTTTGAACGAAAAACTTTCTTAACACCTTGTCACGCAGACAACTACACACACGCACACACACGCACACACACACATACACATACACAAACACACTAGTGCCCGCTCGGCACGAAAAGCTTTCTTAACACCTTGTCACGCAGACAAACAAACGCACGCACACACACACACACACACACACACACACACACACATACACACGCACACACGAGCGACCGCTCAGCACCAGACAGCCTTCTCATCTCCAAGCAACGGAGACGACTGCCACACACACACACACTCCCACGAAAAGCCTTCTCAGCCACACACACACACACACACACACACAGCATGTCCTGACTAGTTCCACAACTCTGAGCTCAGCTACAAACATTCATGATCATTATTTGCGTACCAGCCAAGATCGGTGTCCCTCCGACAGTCGACGATAACCTTGACCCCCAACTGATTCAGGGCGGCGTTGTAGGCTTCCAGGGCATTTGCCAGTGAGTACCTGTGGGTGATCAGCTGCTTGACATCCACCTTCCCAGAGGCGATGGCTTCAATCACTGTCTGGTAACTGTGTTCAAGCATGTTCAACATTACAGACTCGGTCTTGGTGTTTTATGCGTTCATACAATGGAATAGTTAACTGTCCTCTACTTGTGCTTTTTATCTCTCAATTTTTCATGCAGTATGTGCTTTGAAGACTTTTGTCCATCATCGGCTCGAATTTCTAGTCAGGTGTGACAGCCTGACAGATGCATGGCTTCTTAGTCGTCTTTGATAACATGCACTGCAAATCTAAACACAAAACTGTTCATGTTTTTGGCGAATCGTGCACATAGTGCTCACCATATCAGTTCGTGTCAATGGAATACCAATTGCTGTGGAGGTCTTATCATTCCCCGCCCCCCCCCCACCCCCTCTCCATGCCTCCACTCATCTCTGTCTCTGGCGCCCAGTTAAGTGCTTGCTAGGCCTCAGTTTGTAGTAAACAATAGGTCCAAAATGATACGGTGGACATCAGACTACTTGCTAGGCCTCAAGTTTGTAATAAACAATAGGTCCAAAATGATACGGTCGACATCAGACCAGCTACCTTTACCTCCCAGGATGTTACCTGGTACTCATTTCTCACTGTGTCGACAATGTCAGTTTTGAAGAAACAAAATGTTTTGTTGCGGATTAGAAGAAGTATGACAGAGAATGGAGAGAGGTAAGGGAGAGGAGAAAATGAAAGAAGTACCAGGAGGAGGAGAATGAGGATGAGACGCAGAGAAGGGGAGGCAGATGCGGAGGAGGAGAATAAGGAGAGTGAGAAGTAAGAGGAACTCCGATACCACAATGTCTTATTTAGATCTAAAATGGTTTTAACCAGACGTAAAATATTTGTAGCATCTTTTTTTTAAAGATTCCGACAATGACCAGCAATAATACTGTTCTTACGTGTTAGCGAAGCGGATCATGCCACGTATGTCTAGTTCTTTCATGGTTGCCGTTGTCAGAGGAATCTGGACAGTGTTGCTCCCGAATCCAACCTGGCAAACAACTCCTCTAGGGCGAGTGCTCTGTTGGGGAGAACAATGGAGGACGTCAATGTGTAGACGGTAATAATTTAAGTGAGCTTCAAATTTCAAATGGTTTCTGGAAATTAAACGAACACGCTTTCTAAAGTTTCCTAGAAACTATTCGTCAGCAAACGACAATTATAAAACAACACAAACAGATAACCGCACAGTAATGTATAATAAAGTAAAGTAAAGATCCCTTTCCACGCATTAGGCGCATCGGGTATATGGGCAGAGCGTCCCATATTTTTTACCGACCAATCGAAACTAGATGGGTAATGTGGTCAGCATTACGCCGGCCGTCTTTACTTCCCCAGGACAGCCTATCCTGGTACCCATTTTAGGCTGGGTCGACCCGCGACGCCCCATACCTTGATAAAAATCCACGCAGCCAGCAGTGGGTTTCGATCGCGGTACGCTGGATTACGAGTCAGACTCGCAACGCCTAAGCCACGGACTCCGCAGTAATGTATAATGACATAAAATCTCGACAAAGTAGCTAAATAGCAGTGGTATCAGCAACGTCAGTAGTATTAGGAGTATTAGCAGCGGCACTGTTAACAGCAGCAGCAGTAGTAGTAGTAGTAGTAGCAGGAATAGCAGCAGCATTGAAGTAACAATAGTAGTAGTGGTGACGAAGTGATGATGATAAAAATAGTAAGGTAAAAATAAAGATAACAACGCAGGTGGGCCGTAGTTGGACATTTATGAAGTCGGTTACAATCTAACAAGAAGATCAGTAAAACAGATATTTAGATATGTAAACACTGACACAATCTCACAACAAGTAACGTGAAACAGATATTTAGAAATGTAAACACTGACGCAATCTCACAACAAGTAACGTAAAACAGATATTCAGAGATGTAAACACTGACGCAATCTCACAAGTAAAGTAAAACAGATATTCAGAGACGTAAACACTGACGCAATCTCACAAGTAAAGTAAAACAGATATTCAGAGACGTAAACACTGACGCAATCTCACAAGTAAAGTAAAACAGATATTCAGAGATGTAAACACTGACGCAATCTCACAAGTAAAGTAAAACAGATATTCAGAGATGTAAACACTGACGCAATCTCACAAGTAAAGTAAAACAGATATTCAGAGATGTAAACACTGACGCAATCTCACAAGTAAAGTAAAACAGATATTCAGAGATGTAAACACTGACGCAATCTCACAAGTAAAGTAAAACAGATAGTTAGAAATGTAAACACTGACGCAATCTCACAAGTTAAGTAAAACTGATCTTTAGAGATGTAAACAGTCATAGACAGATATCTGACGGGTGAATGTCGACGGCTTTAATGTCGGTGTATTTGGGGTTGGCTTTGTCTTCCTCGCATTAACTTTATCGCACACGGATATTTGCACAAGTCCTCCATATTCTACATCAACATGTGTGATTAATAAATGTACTACGAGAGCAGTTAACATCTACACCTTTAGACATTGGCTATAGGAGACGGAGCACCTATGGGTATGTTCGGTGTGCCGTGTTGTCGATTATTAATTCTCATTTTACATACTATTCCATAAAAGTGGAGCCGCAAACCCATTTTGACCATTCTGGTACAAACTAACCGACATTAGGTTATCAGTGTCAGACTTGGACATTAACAAAAGAACACGAGAGAGGACTAACCACCTGTGAAATGAGATGTTTGAGAATGGCTGCGAATAAAACCAGAAGAGATAGAGTGAGAAACGATTTGATTACAAGAACTATTGGAACCATACCCATCGTTAAATTTATTGAGAAACAAAGAATGAAATGGTTTGGTCACCTTATGAGAATGGAACCAACGATGCCAGCATCAAGAGCATACAACATGAAAATCGAAACACCAAGAGGCAGGGGAAGACCAAGAAGAAGATGGATTGAAGGAGTCACGGACAACTTGAGACTTCATAACATCATGGAATATGAAGCGACTGAGCGCGCCCTGGCTCGGTTGCCGATCATCTGATAGACTGCGACGCCTAGCGGCACAAGCAGATTTTGACAAAAGAAGAAGAAAGAAGGTACAAACTAGGCTTAGAAACACATATCTAGACTAGACTACAGTAAACCCATAACGATCAGTGACAGCACTTACATAGATGGCTGTGCTAGTTCCACTGTGGCTTCCACTGCACTCTATACTGACGTCCACCTCTCGGCCGACCGCCTGCACCACTCTCCGCGACGTCTCCTTGGACTCTTCCCCTGCCGCAACTAGCACTGTGACGTCAGCGCCGATCTCTTTGATAAACTCTAGACGTCCAGGGTTGATGTCTGCGTGAGGTTGTCATACATTTACATTTAGCTTGTAGCACAATCTCTTTCTATATATACCACAATAAAGTTGTTACTATTGCCATTAGTACTTGTAACATCTGTAAAACCATTTTCACCACTACCACCAACATTGTTACCACTATTACCACTACCACTACATTTACTCTTTATATTGCAGCTCTTTATGCTGCTGCTGCTGCAAAGTCAAATTTAGATAATACTACTGATTTTACTATTATTACTACTACTACGACTACTGCTACTGTTACTGCTGCTGCTACTACTACTGCTGCTGCTACTACTGTTGCTACTACTACTGCTGCTGCTGCTGCTGCTGCTACTTCTACTACATCTGTTACTGCTGCTGCTACTTCTACTACTGCTGCTACTGCTGCTGCTGCTACGACTACTACTTCTGTTACTGCTGCTGCTACTTCTACTACTACTGTTACTTCTGCTACTAATACTGCTGCTGCTGTTGCTTCTACTACTCCCCCGTGTGGGTTCCGGGGCCCTATTGTGGGGAAAACAAGAATAGACCCACTGCCTCCCCAAAAGCATGTCGTAAGAGTCGACTAACTGGGGAGCTTCCCTTGAAGTCGGAGAGCATCTGCCTGAGAGGCAAGGAACCAGCAGTCTGCATTCAATTGAATCAGATCTGTAAAACTGATGCACATGCAACACTCAGGTTCTGGAGCATGACTGCAGTTCAGTAGTGGACGAACAACCAGAACTTTCCGCCAGAGTGTACAGCTGGTGAACGCGAAGAAGAAGAAGAAGCTTCTACTACTACAACTACTGCTGCTGCTGCTAAGACTACTACTTCTGTTACTGCTGCTACTACTAATAATGCTGTTGCTGCTACGACTACTACTACTGCTACTATTACTGCTGCTGCTGCTACGACTACTACTACTGCTGCTGCTACTACTATTTCTGCTGCTGCTACGACTACTACTGTTACTGCTGCTACTACTACTGCTGCTGCTACGACTACTACTACTGTTACTACTGCTACTTCTACTACTACTACTGCTACTGCTACTACTGCTGCTACGACTACTACTACTGTTACTGCTGCTGCTACCACTACTGCTGTTGCTTTAACGAATAGTGATAATATTTTATATATATATATATATATATATATCTCAACAAAAGTAGTACAATACATCTTCTACAACAAAGCAAAAATATCTACTGACTTAAACAATTATCATTACTACCACTAACGCTATTACTACTACTTCTTCCAATACTATCACTGTCGTTACTACCATTTTCTATAGTGTACTTCAAAAGTCGTGTTCTCACACTTTAACAAATATCTCGAAAATTCCTGTACGGATCAACATGCATATTTGACCCGTGTCCAAAGATTTAGCATGTTCTTATGATTTTAAAGTTTACAATTGCATAGGTGCCACTATTTTCCTAAAGCGGTGGATCTTTTTGTTCTTTGACAAATAATTTAATAACTTGTGTAACCTTTAAAACGATATATATATATATATATATATATATATATATATATATATATATATACACACACACACACACATATATATATATATATATATATATATATATATATATATATATATATATATATATACAGTAGCAGACGTATACGAGGAGATTATTTCGAAATGAGTTCATATGTGAAGCCTTGTATGATGATTACTTTGATAGCCTGTCCCACATACGATGTAACTCACGGGAGGCTTACGCTAGAAATGAAAATTCCGGTTACTCAGTTTACTGTAAACATGCTGAATGTTTGCTCTGACTCAGTGTCTATTTGTTGTTTCGTAAACGGCAGATAAGGGTAAATGAAAATTAGATTTGTGCATTGATAAAATGTCTCAGAAAGACCTGTTTATTAGCAGGCTGCCTGTCGCATTTCAACAACTGACATCGAGCGGTTCCTGAATTACAGATTTTTATAGTTAGTCAGGATTTATGGAAGGGACTGTAGCTAATTCATTTGCTATTGCTACCACCGCCACCGCCACCACAGTTACTGCTATGGTGTTCTTACAGTAGAATAGAGCACCTCACAAAGTCGTGTTACAAAAGAATGTATTAACAAGAGAACATAAGCCATACTTACACAGTGTGTAGCGTTCACATTTCGTCCGGTTAATTTCCATTAGCACTACGCCAGCTGTTTAACTGTTTTACAAACGTATTTACACTTGAATGATGTGTGTGTGTGTGCGCGCGCGTGTGTGTTTGCTTGTTTGCGTGTGTGTGTGTATAGACAGATGATAAAGTATTGTAGTTACCGGTGACACAAATCCTGACTGCCCCCCTGGCTCGTGCCGCTAACATCACTATCATCCCTAGTGGACCTGCCGGATAGGAAAACAAAACAAGTTGACAATTAATTAAATTGCAAGCCAAATCTCAGCTACACAACAAGCAGTTTGTCAGCCTGTGAGAATGTCTACAGACTACGCAACAAAATTAGGTTGTTATTATTGTTTTCCCGTTGTTTCTGTAGCCTTATTTTGTGCAAAATGCAGCTTCGGCGCTTCCATTTTTTCATTTTTTTTCTGCTTTTGTTTCTTTCTTCGGCGATCTCTGGTCATGCACATAATCCAGTCTTTTCAAGGTCTCTTAGGTTTTCCCAAAGCTTAGTTGTCAGTTCTACTGGGTGCTGCCATATGTTGCTCCGCAGTTCCGCAGGAGAGGACAGTCTTGTAAGACATGTTCTGGAGTCTGTTTAGCACGAAGACACTGGCAGAGAGCTGTCTGGTTCCTAGATAATTTATGTGAGCGTTTGCAGTCTCCAGTGTGTAAACGAAAAACTGGGACTTGGTCTGTTTTGTTCAGCTGGTTCAGGAAACATTTTTAACGGTTATATCCCGTGTTAGTGTCGTGAAGTGATCAGCCAACCCTACACGATGGACGAGTCGTGAATCTGACTTCCCTACGCGGACAGTCAAATTTAAACCCGTCCGGAAGGATATATTGTCCCTTATATTGATATATACCTATATCTGGTGAAATATTCATTTCTAGACCCTCTAGTTGCTTTGATAAATCTTCATTTTCAAGCTTGCAACTGTAGGTTGAAGATTTCTGGTGTTTAATTCAGAAATTCCTGTAAGCCGGTTTACTCCTTAGGCATGAATACAGGGGACTTCTTTCCTAGAGACGCTAAGTTTGGTTTTGAGAAGGCATTCTTTCGCCTGTTCCCAAAGTGTCAAGACGTGTATACAGTCTATGAAGAAATTGGCGCATTCAAAGTTCCAGTTCTATCTTGGAAGAATTCCTAAGCTTGGGTAAGTTGATTATAGTTTACGAGTACCATAGTATATGTCTTTTTAAAGTTGGTCACTGCTGCAGAGATGGAAGATTCAGCTGTGTGATCACACAGAGTTGGGCCGTTCTTGATGTCCAGAGATCAGGTTCCGAACATTAAACCTTTCCCTGTGCAGACTAATTAGTTTGTACTCTACAAAACCCACACCATTTGTAAAGATATTAAACCCTACAAGTAATTATTCTCTGACCAGACAAACGAATTTTTGTGCTTCCTAGCAGAGATAAAGAATCTGGGTCATCTTTTAAAGAAACGGCTGTGACGTCAGAGGTAGACGCTCTGAGTCGATAGTGTGTTTGACACAGATTCAACCGGGTGTGTAGTGAGCAGCCTGTGGGGACGTGAAATATATATAGATAATAACTGTATACATTGTATGTATGCGAGTGCAGATGTGAGGGTGGAGAGAGGATGATCTATGTGTGGTAGTGTCTATCTATCTCCACTATATACCTTGTTTTCTATCTGTTGCACTAATTTACAGACATATAACTGAAAGGAGACATTGTCTCCTGTTCTTGAGAATTACACTCTGAGGAATGGAGAAGGGTAGCAAAGTGGGGGGGGGGGGGCTGGGGTGTGAATAAGGCTGATTACTAATTCTGAGTTCTTTCCTGACAGTTAGTTTTCCAATCTATTTCAGATTTTCTCCTAATAAGGGTTTTAAAATAAGGGTTTTGACTTGTGGAAAAGATGATAGATGGTAGATTGTAGATTTCTTCCGCCTTCCTTGGCTAAAATGTCAGCGCTTCCAGTGCCTTTGATGCCACAATGAATTGAAATTCACTGCAGGTGGATTTCTGCCTTTGTTGACAACACAGCAGGTTCCCTTTTTTAAGACTCCATAATGTGCTATAAGTTCATTAAAACAATGCAATAAGGCAGATAACTGGCATGCTGCTGATGTTCTGCAAAGTTATTTCTAGCCACGGTTTACTGATGACAATTCCCCACTTCTGGACTGGGAGTGCAAAGGTTTCATCGCCCAGCTACTGATATGAGTCCTTGGTGAGACTCTAGTGTTGTGGATTTCACATGAAAATGTTTCGTGCCCGGAGCGGTTTTATGAACTGCACTAAAAATCGTGGGTGGCCGATTATGTTCGGTTATGCAGTTTTGCGCGTACAGTGCCAGATTTCCTAACTGACTACTTGCAGCAACAGTGAGATGCAATTCCTGTGTGGCGCTGTTAGTGCTGCAACTCTGACCGCTGCATTATGTACTTAGCTTTGCATGTGTGAGCTTCAAAATGTTTCACGAATTGGCATATTTTTCACAAGCTATTAAATAAGAAAGTCAAGGACAGCTTGTGTGATGTCAACTGGTACATGAACGCTCCGACAGGGACAACCCGTCTGCATTAAAGTTGGAAGCTCGACTACCGACTAAAAAGAAATTATTTCCCTTTGGTGTTCATAACAGAGAATATGTCTGGAAACTTACCTGCACCAGACACAAGAACATAGTCCCCAATGTTGACCTCTGCCCTCTGACATGCGTAGAAACCAAGTGACAAGGGTTGTACCATAGCTCCTTCATCAAAACTAACATTGTCTGGCAATCTGTGGATTTGAAAACTGCGACATTCATTTCTGTTTCCAGAGGAACATCGGAAAGAATAAACGAACCAAATAAAATTTGAGTTCAGAATTGGTTGCACAAGACCATTTAAATTCCTGTTGTACTGGGCTCACTCCATATACAGAGTATTAAAATTGTGAAAATAAATGATATGACATAGCAATAGAAGGAAAAGTTCTTAACCGGGTCAATAAATTCAAGTATTTGGGGGCATTCATATCGCTAAATGGAAGATGTGTAACATAAATTAAGAGCAAAATTGGCCAGGTAAAGAAGATGAAAAGTGTCTTATGTAATAAATTATTGTCATTAAACATCAGAAAACGATTATTGAAATGTTACATCGAGCCTGTTCTGTTGTGTGGAAGTGAATCTTGGAATGTGAGCAAACAAATTAGCAATAGTCTGGAGGTAACTGAGATGAGGTTCTTGAGAAGAATGTTGAGAATACCTTGGACTGGCAGAATAATTAACAAAGATTACCTGAAAATGGCTAATGAAAGTAGAACATTATATACAATAATGAGAAGGAGACAACCAAAGTTCTTTGGTCAAGTGAGGAGAAAAGGAGCAATGGAAAATATCGTGACGACTGGAATGATCACTGGTAGAAAAGGCAGAGGCAGACCAAGAGAAATGAGGGTGGATGGCTTAAGACAGTCCCATGGAGGAATATCATCAAAAGAATTGATCCAGAACACTAGACCGAGATCTCAGAAGATGCTTGGACGCCTATGCCAGCTGCCTAGGCACTTCATGATAATGAAATGATCCTATGATTAGTTTTCATAAAAACAAAAAAGACTTGAACATTTTATTTTTAGCTGGATTTGAGCTCAGAGTTTTTGGAGTTTAAAACAGGCGACATTAATTCTAAACTACTTGCCATCTACAGCTAAAGCCAGGTCATATGCTGCAATTATTATCAACACATCTGTTGACTTTGAAAATAAACAAATCAAACCAAGAATTTGGCATACTTAACAAAATGTGGAATTTAAAGTGCTTCGATACACAGTACAGCTGACCACGGAAGTCTGAGGTTAACCATCTGGTGCTTTGATACACAGTACAGCTGACCACAGAAGTCTGAGGTTAACCATTTGGTGCTTTGATACACAGTACAGCTAACCACAGAAGTCTGAGGTTAACCATTTGGTGCTTTGATACACAGTACAGCTAACCACAGAAGTCTGAGGTTAACCATCTGGTGCTTTGATACACAGTACAGCTGACCACAGAAGTCTGAGGTTAACCATTTGGTGCTTTGATACACAGTACAGCTAACCACGGAAGTCTGAGGTTAACCATCTGGTGCTTTGATACACAGTACAGCTGACCACAGAAGTCTGAGGTTAACCATTTGGTGCTTTGATACACAGTACAGCTAACCACAGAAGTCTGAGGTTAACCATTTGGTGCTTTGATACACAGTACAGCTAACCACAGAAGTCTGAGGTTAACCATCTGGTGCTTTGATACACAGTACAGCTGACCACAGAAGTCTGAGGTTAACCATTTGGTGCTTTGATACACAGTACAGCTAACCACGGAAGTCTGAGGTTAACCATCTGGTGCTTTGATACACAGTACAGCTGACCACAGAAGTCTGAGGTTAACCATTTGGTGCTTTGATACACAGTACAGCTAACCACAGAAGTCTGAGGTTAACCATCTGGTGCTTTGATACACAGTACAGCTGACCACAGAAGTCTGAAGTTAACCATGTGGTGCTTTGATACACAGTACAGCTGACCACAGAAGTCTGAGGTTAACCATGTGGTGCTTCGATACACAGTACAGCTGACCACAGAAGTCTGAGGTTAACCATATGGTGCTTTGATACACAGTACAGCTGACCACAGAAGTCTGAGGTTAACCATGTGGTGCTTTGATACACAGTACAGCTGACCACAGAAGTCTGAGGTTAACCATGTGGTGCTTTGATACACAGTTTAGCTGACCACAGAAGTCTGAGGTTAACCATGTGGTGCTTTGATACACAGTTTAGCTGACCACAGAAGTCTGAGGTTAACCATATGGTGCTTTGATACACAGTACAGCTGACCACAGAAGTCTGAGGTTAACCATATGGTGCTTTGATACACAGTACAGCTGACCACGGAAGTCTGAGGTTAACCATGTGGTGCTTTGATACACAGTACAGTTAGCCACAGAAGCCTGAGGTTAACCATATGGTGCTTTGATACACAGTACAGTTAGTCACAGAAGCCTGAGGTTAACCATATGGTGCTTTGATACACAGTACAGCTGACCACAGAAATCTGAGGTTAACCATGTGGTGCTTTGAGCAATATTAAACATATGTTGGAATATCCTGATTTTTAACCAGCAGTATTAGACGGTGGTGTTCCACATATCAACCCATACACGTGCTCAGACACACACACACACACGCTCGCACACACACACACACGCAAAAAAGCAAAACGATATCTAAAGCAAATGTCAGTTATATAGAAAAAGACAAATCACACAGGCTTACTTGTGCACAAAGCTTGCCGGGTGGCAGAAATATCGACATAAGGCACCGTCGGTCGGAGGTGTGGCCAAGTACCGGAGGTGGCTACAGAGGTTGTAGTGTCCTCTCCGACAGTAGCTACAGTGGCCACATGCCACGTTAGGTTCCACAGCCACCCGATCACCTGGTGGAGAAAGGTTTTCGTCTGCCTCTTAACATAGGACCGTTTGTGTAGCTTTCCTGATTTACAACCTTCGCTGTTTTCTACAATATTTGTTTGTATTTGTGTTGTCCCCAACTCTCTTTCTCTTTATGGTGTTTACCGGCTGTGAAAGTTCTGACTGTTCGTCCACATCTCGACTTTTTTCTTGTTTTAGAACTTGGGGTTTGCATGCGCATCCCGTTTACAGGTCTGACTTAATTATATGCCGACTGTTGGTTCCTTGCCTTTTTTCGCAGATGCACGCCGACTTCGACAGGAACACCCCTAATTAGTAGCCCTTTACGACACGCTTGTTAGGAAGCAGTAGGTCTATTCTTGTCCGCCAATAGGGGCCACCGGAAACCACGCAAAGAGTTGTGCGTAACAAAGAGCGTTGTTATTGAAACGAATGGTCGGGCTCCCGTGGGACACGTCGAAACGTAATACGCGAGTAAAGTAAAGCACCCTTTTCCACTCTGTCGTACTGGGTATAAAGTAAAAGGACCCATTTTTCCACTCTGTCGTACTAGTTATAAAGTGAAAGGACCCATTTTTCCACTCTGCCCTACTGGGTATAAAGTAAAAGGACCCATTTTTCCACTCTGTCGTACTGGGCAGAAAGTGAAAGGACCCATTTTTCCACTCACTCTGTCGTATTAGGCAGAAATAAAAGGACCGTTTTCGAGCCTTCGGACTACTGGGCACATACACTAAACCTTTATTTTACAGACCAATCGACATTCGATGGCTGTTATTGTGAGCATCAAGCCGGCCACCTTTACTTACCATGAATGTACCTGGTACCTATTTGAGGCTGCATCGACCTGAGAACTGAGGTCATGTTTTGGAAAAAAGTCCGGCTCTATCAGGACGCGAACTCACGACCTTCCGATCCGCAGTATAAGTTAGTGTGTAACTGTAAGAACACGACCTGCTAGTTTTGGATCATTATAACTGTTTCTGTCCCAAGCGACGCCCCTGCCCTGGTTGAAACGCTTTCCGTCTGAATCGACGCCCCTGCCCTCACTGAAACGCTTTCTGTCCCGAGCGACGCCCCGGCCCTGAGTGAAACGCTTTCCGCCTAAAGCGACGCCCCTGCTCTGACGGACTGTCGTATATATGTATGTATGTATGTATGTATGTATGTATGTATGTATGTATGTATGTATGTATGTATGTATGTATGTATGTATGTATGTATGTATGTATGTATGTATGTATGTATGTATGTATGTATGTATGTATGTATGTATGTATGTATGTATGTATGTATGTATGTGTGTGTGTATGTATGGATGGATGGATGGATGGATGGATGGATGGATGGATGGATGGATGGATGTATGTATGTATGTATGTCTGTATGTCTGTGTGTCTGTGTGTCTGTGTGTCTGTGTGTGTGTGTGTGTGTGTGTGTGTGTGTACGTACGTACGTACGGATGGATGGATGGATGGGATGGATGGATGGGATGGATGGATGGATGGATGGATGGATGGATGGATGGATGGATGGATGGATGGGTGTATGTATGTATGTATGTATGTATGTATGTATGTATGTATGTATGTATGTATGTATGTATGTATGTATGTATGTATGTATGTATGTATGTATGTATGTATGTATGTATGTATGTATGTATGTATGTATGTATGTATGTATGTATGTATGTATGTATGTATGTATGTATGTATGTATGTATGTATGTATGTATGTATGTATGTATGTATGTATGTATGTATGTATGTATGTATGTATGTATGTATGTATGTATGTATGTATGTATGTATGTATGTATGTATGTATGTATGTATGTATGTATGTATGTATGTATGTATGTATGTATGTATGTATGTATGTATGTATGTATGTATGTATGTATGTATGTATGTATGTATGTATGTATGTGTCTGTGTGTGTGTGTGTGTATGTATGCATGCACTTACCAACTTCAACACCGGTGACTCCCTCACCCAATTTGCTGATGACCCCACTGGGTTCATGGCCCAAGATCAGCGGAGCAGTCACCCTGTATTCACCAATTTGTCCCCGCTGCCACAGAGTGACGTCAGATCCACAGATCCCCACCGAGCAGACGGTCACCTGCACCTCTGGAAGTAAACACACACATAACATGGAGCTAGTAAAATTCTGCTTATGCCATACAATTTACAGTTATTGACCAACAAGTTATATACTTCTCTTACCTACTACCCTCACAATATCCGTGCCAAAAATTTTATCCTCAGGCACCTCTCCATCCTGCGGGCTGACCCTGTCACCAGCAAGATTATCTTTGAATGTCCTTTAGTCATGACAGTAACCTTAAAGACGTTCTAGACAAGAACCTGTTACGTCCCGTTGGTCATAGACCTACATGCAAGACAAGAACCATCTGCCAAAGAGATCCAGTCTAAAGAAATATAATCAACACAGAGCAGGAGCACGACTAAGCGAAACATGAAACGACGGCATCAAGAACAGCCTCAAAGAAATGAATATCAACTTAAACAAGGCAAAAAAAAAAAAAAAAAACAGTGGAATCCTAAAACCCCCCCCCCCCCCCCCCTAAACACTTCGATGATATAAATGGAGAAGCATGGGAATTTTGAAACCAAATATTCAATGTCCATACAATTATACTGCTCCTCTGTCACGAAAAACTATATTTGTAATTTCGTCACACTGTCGCTAACACCTTCTCTAAGCTTCTGATCCCACTGCTTCTGTCGCATGCTTTGTTTTAAACGTATTGGTGTTACTTTTCATTTGGAGTAAACAAGGTAGGCCGAGAAAAGGATCATGATGGATGGGCAACGCGAAGTCTCGACAATTCTGACACGGCTTTGTGCCATGGAGAAGTGGAACTTCATACCCCTCCTTTGATGGTATCGCCATGTGCCGTTATTCCCAAGTCTCTCTTTAGCAGAATTAAACAATTTTCGCTGGAAAGGCGGAAAGGTGCTGACAAAATATAGCCCTAAAATGTAAAGGATGTCTAACAAAAGTGTAGTAAATGTGCTGATGTGCTTCCTACAAGGAAGTAAACTTAACAGATGTAAATTACTTCTAAGAAGTAACAATTACGGATTATGAAGACACGGGATATTTAAAAAAAAAATAATCGTTAGAAACTCGACATTTTACATTATATTAGATTGTAAATGCTGTAGGATCCTAATTCTGATATGCTTGTGATCATCTAGTCAAGAGACGCTGTACGAATGGAAGTTATACTTTATGAGTCCTCCGATCTCGCAAAGATCGATTTTCATATGTTACTATATAAATGTCTAGCACCATAACCTTGACTCCGACTACTAACCACAAATGACCACCAATACCCTAACATAACAAGCAGAATCTATTATTAATATCTCAGTTAATAAGCCGGCACTCCACCAACTTTGCTAAAGCGCCCGAATACTTTGCTATATCCGCCGTACAAAATTGGCCATATGATACTGAAAAACAACATACTATACTACCTGGGTGTGTTTGTCTCTGTGTGTGTGCGCAGGTATGTGTGTAAATATGCATGCGTGTGTGTGTGTGTACATGCGTGTGCGTGCGTGCACGTGTGTGTGTGTACGCGCGTGCGGGTGAATGTGTGCGTGAGTGTGTGTGCGTGATTGTGTGAATGTATGCATGCGTGTGAATGTATGCATGCGTGTGAATGTGTGCACGTGTGTGTGTGTGTGTGTGTGTGTGTGTGTGCGTGCGTGTAAAAATGACTTCAAACGGTTTTTAATGGTTACCTCCTGGTCCAGGTTCTGGAACTGGTCTGTCAACCTGAATTCAAGAATAAATCAGAAAAGAACAAATACAAACAGGCAGCAATCACTCGTTCATCGCTTGTGTGATGTCCTGGTGGGGTTGGGGGGGGGGGGGGGTAAAAGAAGATAGAAGATAGGCATGGTCGTGATATTGCGGACAAGTTGTCACCCTGATTTGTCACAGTATTTCTGTCACCTGTTTTGTGCTGCTGTGGCCCTGACTTTTTTTAGACAGTGAGCTTAGATACGTGAACGTCAGGGTGGAGTTAAGGGTGGGGGGTAAGAAATCATCTTTCAGCCATAAGATTTGTGTAAGCATATTGTGCGAGTTCCATGTCGTTTACCGATTGGCGCTTGAGAGGCGGTATAGATATTATCCAAACGTAAGAAGAGAGCTGGAGAATGAAGTTAGAAAGATGGGGAGGACATGGGGAGAGCTCCATGCAATGGCGAAGAACAGAACGACTTGGCGTGAGTTGTTTGAGGGCCTATGCTACATTGGGGGGGGGGGGGGGATAGAAAGGCAGAAGAAAAAGAAGTCCTCACCGAACGTCCAAGTGTATTTACTGCTATCTATTTTAGACGGGTCACCCCGTCTTACAGGCACAGACATGGAAACCGTGGTAGTGCTGAGGCTAGATGCTTAGCCTGCAAGCCCCAAGGTGCAGCCTTCAAATCCTCATCAAGGCGGATTTTTGTGTGTGTGTGTCTAATCGACATTCGTTCCCGGGGCTGCCCAGCCTCAAATGCGTACCAGTAATATCATGGGAAGTAAAAGAGGCGGGCGAAATGTTGACTATATCCCCCACCGAAAGTCCAGTTTATTTATAGAACACGAGCTGGTGGTGTGATTCAAAAAGTGCTGTTAAACACAAATGTGGTCTTGTGAGTTTTTTATATTTCACTGTCAACAAACTCCACACACTGTTCAGAAGAAAGGTGTATGCAATATATGTATACATGACAAAGAAAAACGGGAAAGTCCATTTCTACGTCTTTATATCTCTTAGGCATATGGTAATGGACTAGATCCATCTGTCTAAAGATCCAGATTCATCGGCGCCAATTTTACGCTGGTCTCCCAGAAAACGTGCTGAACTGCAAGGTGGAGATTCTACCCTTAGGCCCCCTGGCCCTTCGACCAGTGTTCTAGTCCACTGAGTGTCTATGGTCTCAGGGAATCGACCCACTTGGGGTACATTACTTCGTGCAGATCATAGCCACAGCAGTCGCAAGTCAGCAAGAACTGTCAGTGTTCAGACAGCAGAAACTGTCAGTGTTCAGACAGCAGGAACTGTCAGTGTTCAGACAGCAGGAACTGTCAGTTTTCAGACAGCAAGAACTGTCAGTGTTCAGACAGCAAGAACTGTCAGTGTTCAGACAGCAGGAACTGTCAGTGTTCAGACAGCAAGAACTGTCAGTGTTCAGACAGCAGGAACTGTCAGTGTTCAGACAGCAAGAACTGTCAGTGTTCAGACAGCAGGAACTGTCAGTGTTCAGACAGCAGGAACTGTCAGTGTTCAGACAGCAGGAACTGTCAGTGTTCAGACAGCAGGAACTGTCAGTGTTCAGACAGCAGGAACTGTCAGTGTTCAGACAGCAGGAACTGTCAGTGTTCAGACAGCAAGAACTGTCAGTGTTCAGACAGCAGGAACTGTCAGTGTTCAGACAGCAAGAACTGTCAGTGTTCAGACAGCAAGAACTGTCAGTGTTCAGACAGCAGGAACTGTCAGTGTTCAGACAGCAAGAAATGTCAGTGTTCAGATAGCAGGAACTGTCAGTGTTCAGACAGCAAGAACTGTCAGTGTTCAGACAGCAGGAACTGTCAGTGTTCAGACAGCAAGAACTGTCAGTGTTCAGACAGCAGAAACTGTCAGTGTTCAGACAGCAGGAACTGTCAGTGTTCAGACAGCAAGAACTGTCAGTGTTCAGACAGCAAGAACTGTCAGGGTTCAGACAGCAAGAACTGTCAGTGTTCAGACAGCAGGAACTGTCAGTGTTCAGACAGCAAGAACTGTCAGTGTTCAGACAGCAAGAACTGTCAGTGTTCAGACAGCAGGAACTGTCAGTGTTCAGCCAGCAGGAACTGTCAGTGTTCAGACAGCAGGAACTGTCAGTGTTCAGCCAGCAGGAACTGTCAGTGTTCAGACAGCAAGAACTGTCAGTGTTCAGACAGCAAGAACTGTCAGTGTTCAGACAGCAAGAACTGTCAGGGTTCAGACAGCAAGAACTGTCAGTGTTCAGACAGCAGGAACTGTCAGTGTTCAGACAGCAAGAACTGTCAGTGTTCAGACAGCAAGAACTGTCAGTGTTCAGACAGCAGGAACTGTCAGTGTTCAGACAGCAGGAACTGCCAGTGTTCAGACAGCAAGAACTGTCAGTGTTCAGACAGCAGGAACTGTCAGTGTTCAGACAGCAAGAACTGTCAGTGTTCAGACAACAGGAACTGTCAGTGTTCAGACAGCAGGAACTGTCAGTGTTCAGACAGCAGGAACTGTCAGTGTTCAGACAGCAGGAACTGTCAGTGTTCAGACAGCAAGAACTGTCAGTGTTCAGACAGCAGGAACTGTCAGTGTTCAGACAGCAAGAACTGTCAGTGTTCAGACAGCAAGAACTGTCAGTGTTCAGACAGCAAGAACTGTCAGTGTTCAGACAGCAAGAACTGTCAGGGTTCAGACAGCAAGAACTGTCAGTGTTCAGACAGCAAGAACTGTCAGTGTTCAGACAGCAAGAACTGTCAGTGTTCAGACAGCAAGAACTGTCAGTGTTCAGTCAGAATCACACACACTCACTAGTCGAAGATCGTTGACACTGTACAAGACCACAGACAGAATCACACACACTCACCAGTCGAAGATCTTTGACTTTGTTCAGTACCACAGACAGAATCACACACACTCACTAGTCGAAGATCGTTGAAACTGTACAAGACCACAGACAGAATCACACACACTCACTAGTCGAAGATCGTTGACACTGTACAAGACCACAGACAGAATCACACACACTCACTAGTCGAAGATCGTTGACACTGTACAAGACCACAGACAGAATCACACACACTCACTAGTCGAAGATTGTTGACACTGTACAAGACCACAGACAGAATCACACACACTCACTAGTCGAAGATTGTTGACACTGTACAAGACCACAGACAGAATCACACACACTCACTAGTCGAAGATCTTTGACACTGTACAAGACCACAGACAGAATCACACACACTCACTAGTCGAAGATTGTTGACACTGTACAAGACCACAGACAGAATCACACACACTCACTAGTCGAAGATTGTTGACACTGTACAAGACCACAGACAGAATCACACACACTCACTAGTCGAAGATCTTTGACTTTGTTCAGTACCACAGACAGAATCACACACACTCACTAGCCGAAGATTGTTGACACTGTACAAGACCACAGACAGAATCACACACACTCACTAGCCGAAGATTGTTGACACTGTACAAGACCACAGTCAGAATCACACACACTCACTAGCCGAAGATCGTTGACACTGTACAAGACCACAGACAGAATCACACACACTCACTAGTCGAAGATCGTTGACACTGTACAAGACCACAGACAGAATCACACACACTCACCAGTCGAAGATCGTTGACACTGTACAAGACCACAGACAGAATCACACACACTCACCAGTCGAAGATCGTTGACACTGTACAAGACCACAGACAGAATCACACACACTCACCAGTCGAAGATCTTTGACACTGTACAAGACCACAGACAGAATCACACACACTCACTAGTCGAAGATCGTTGACACTGTACAAGACCACAGACAGAATCACACACACTCACTAGTCGAAGATTGTTGACACTGTACAAGACCACAGACAGAATCACACACACTCACTAGTCGAAGATTGTTGACACTGTACAAGACCACAGACAGAATCACACACACTCACTAGTCGAAGATCTTTGACTTTGTTCAGTACCACAGACAGAATCACACACACTCACTAGCCGAAGATTGTTGACACTGTACAAGACCACAGACAGAATCACACACACTCACTAGTCGAAGATCGTTGACACTGTACAAGACCACAGACAGAATCACACACACTCACTAGTCGAAGATCTTTGACTTTGTTCAGTACCACAGACAGAATCACACACACACTCACTAGCCGAAGATCGTTGACACTGTACAAGACCACAGACAGAATCACACACACTCACTAGTCGAAGATCGTTGACACTGTATGTGACAATACGCTCGGTGACTCCAGAATATCTTTCCTCAACCTACTTTTATTTCTTTGTATTTTGAAAGTATACAGGAAAATATGGATTTGGGTACATCCTTAATCTAAGTAGACGATCATATCCAACACTACAACTTTTTCCCAGTGTTAAGGTACAGAGATAAGACTGACCAAGCAGACTTACTGACTGGAGATTTGCACACCATCTGTTGGTGTCAGAAATTTTATCTCTTAGCCAGACTTTTAGGAGCAGCTAACTCCGGCTAATTGTGTTTAATTCCCCCTGAGGTTACCTAACTCGACGGCAGGTCCGACGGTCACTATTGACACAGTGAGCGGAAAGTGTTTGGCAGAAGGATTGGACACCGTCTGATTTTATTGTGGATGGCAGTGTGAAGTAGACTGGAGGTGGTGACTAGGCCTATTAGCTGGGACCAGCTTAATTGAACCAGGAGATCCTAGCGTGGGAATTCAAACTTGTTGAACAGTCACTGACTGACAGGGAATATACACCCACAGGGGAGGAGCTGTGATTTCCTGAATGAGAAATGATTTTAGGCGTAATGTAGGAGGAGCTTGATAAAAGTTATAAAGGGGTGAACTTATAGGGTCTGGTAAATGAGATCCTGTCGAGCACATGCCGTATCTGTTGGCTTATCCTAAGCCTTGAGACAGACCAATTTCAAAAAAAAATTTTTCGTGGGCATCGTGATTTCATTTTTTTCCAGGTAAGATCGAATTAGGTTCACATCTATATTTTATGATAGAGGATCTGTCTTTTTGC